CCCCAAAACCCCAAAACCCCAAAACCCCAAAACCCCTTGACCAAATATTTGTATTGATAATATATAATTAAAAATAGGGTAATGCCAATCAAACAATTTCAAATTTGGCCAGGAGCCTCTAGGTTTTTCTGCAGAGGCCGCATAATGACAGGTAATTTAGCAACCGGCACAGTACAGTAAGGATTATAGGTCCTAATGTGATCATGCCGATTATTAGTATCATTGTGGTCTTTGGAGTGTGATGAGGAGTCAATGCAACCACATTTTGGTATATTTCAGAGAAAACTAAACATTTCCTCCTTCCAATAATTGTGACGGTCCAGATAATAACACTTTACTGCCTAGTAAAGACTTCCTTTATGGATCCTGGGTATTTGCCGAGGAGAAATTTTATGAAAATTATCCGATCTGATCTCACTGAGATGTCAGTAGAAGAGCAGGCTATTCCATTTTTCAATCACTATTTATATTCAAAAGCACATTCGGTAAAACTTAAATACTGATCCACTTGTGAAATTTACAGACCTCCGAGATCTTCTCACTGAGGAAGCTGAGATTCCTGAGTGGAAAGGATCGACCATCACTGTCCTTGGCTTGGTACATGTATCGGTAAAAGAAACTATAAGTACTTTTTCATATTCATTAATCTTCTCTCGTTCCTTATAATACTGTGTATTATCCTATCGCTTCTTGAAATATACCTGCGAGTAAGAAAAAATATGGATAGCGGGAATAGCATAAGCAAGGCATTGGAGCTGACATTCAGCAAAGCTCCATACCCTCTGATATATATAGCTATATGCATATTAGCTTCTACATTTGTGATAGTCCTTTGAGGTTATCATCATAAACTCCTTTGTAAAAGCCTCACTACGAATGAAGACTTAAAAGGAATTTGGGGTGACACGTTCATGTGCAATCCTAATAAATAAGAAATATCTTCATAATCTTTGGAATACAATCTTCATGCCTGTCCCTCCGAAGCACTGGCAGCCCCGCAATGAGATAATTGGCTACCAATCTGAACTGGCTAAGGTAAGGCAAGATAAGGTAACTCTTGGTGAGGGCTTTCACAGAAGTTTACATGATAACTGCTTTTTATGCTACTTCTCCTCAAATTTTCCGAAGATTTTTGAAAAATACATTGAATATATTTTGTCGAAAATTAACCTTCTTTGCAGCAAAAGGAACAAGAAAAAGAGCCTCTTAGTGACCTATCCATGGAGGAAAATCCAGGCTTTAGTATTGAGCCAGGCGAAGGCAAAGACCAATGGTAATTTTAAAACTTATTTGTAATAATCTTCATAAGTCCACAATCCGATAGCAAGCTACAGACACTTGGCAATAGAACAACGAGTAGAGATTTCATAGTTACCAATATAGAATACGACCAATTCTCCACCATGAAAGATAAGAGGTCTTCTGTCGCTGACTCTAATTGAAGAATGTTCATGGCTGGTGACCTGGACCAAACAGAAGGAGAGAATCTTCTTTCGATGCGCAAAAATTCAACTGAATTGAAATAAGCTTAACAAACAAAACCCTAATCTCAAGAGGCTAACTAAGCCTGAAATACGTTCAAAAATGTCTATGTTCGCTCCTTTAGGTCAAATTTTATCAGAAAGTTCTGAGAAATCAACTCCTGAAATGAGAAAGGAGAAGGATAAACTTCAAACTTTACAGGAAGTGAAGCATGAAATACCTTCAATCAGCAAAGCCATATCATCAGAAGTAGTTGTCCCTAAATCTGCCATTGGTAAGACACTGTCAGATCCTATTTCCCACTTGTCATCAAGGAATTACCTCCGGTCACCTTACGAAGAGGATAAGTTTGAAGAACAGAAAGGGAAAGTGCCAAAGCTAAAGCTTAATCCTGGTGAGAATTTCAAGCTGCTCAAGAACAAACTTATGTAAGCTCTCTTGCCTGATCTGCATAGAAAAGCCACTAAGAAAAATATGTAGGAAGATAGTCTTATTGTAGCAGGAAATCTCCTCAAAAGGAGAATCTAGACTCTAGTTATGGGGGTAGTTCCAGTATCAAAAGCCAGTACCATATAGTCGATGATAAAATAAAAGCATTTGAACGGTAAAAAAAGGTTTGACCCTCTAGAATCTCCGTGTCTGAAAGTAATGAGGAAGTTTTACATAAAGATGAATATAAAGGTAGAGCAGTCTTTTCACAAAGTCTAGAAGAGGACAGGAATAGTAACAGTAGGAGGGAGCTCACTGAACCACGCAAAAGGTTCAAAACGTAGAGAACCACCCAAGATTTGCATTAAAAATCAATATTTATTCACGATTATTATTTAAACTTCCAATTTTAGATGATACTTTCGGGGTTTTGGGGTTTTGGGGTTTTGGGGTTTTGGGG